TATCCCAAGGTTCTTGTCTTGGTGTACTGGAAGAATTGGATCACATGTGGGCTTGGAGAATGAGTGTAAAGTTTTATTGAGTGGAAGTAATGCTCAGTAGATTGGGGAGCCAGAAGGGAGATGGTTTTCCCCTGGCATTCAGCTACTTAGTGGCCCAGGCTCTTCTCCCACTGCCCCAGCCAAACTCTGCTTCGTTCCACGGCCTGCCTGCATCTGTCGTGTGCTCTTCCACCGTCGTGTGTTTTCCTGCTGGCATTCTCCTCTCAATGCCCTCTCAAGGTCCAGCCGCTGTGTCTTCTTCTGCCAATGTGTTCCTCTAAAAGTCCAGCCGCTTGTGTGTCTGTCTGCTAGGGTCTGGGGAATTTTTATAGGCACAGGGAGGGGCCATGGCAGACCAGGGTGGTCTTGGGAAATCCAGCATTTGAGCGGGAAAACAAAAATGCCTATCTTCACCTCAGTCCGTGGGCACAGGCCCCAGATGGAGCCTTAGCCAGGGACCATGACCTCCTCTACCCAGCACTTCCCTTACCCCCTCCGTATCATTTAAAGGGACCATGTTCTTCTCTACCCAACACATCCGTATCACTCCTACCTCAGCCTCCCAAGTAGCTAGGACTGTAGGTGTGTGCCAACACACCCAGCTAGGTTTTTTTGGTTTTGTTTTCAATTTTTTGTAAAGACAGGGTCTCACAGTGTTGCCCTGGCTGGTCTCAAACTCCTGGACTCAAGCACTCTGCCCACCTTGGCGTCCCAAAGTGCTGGGACTACAGGCTTGAGCCATTGCACCCAGCCTCCTTTTTCTGATTGTTATCTTCTCCTGGAAAGTGATAAATGAAGCTATGTTTGTTTCAGTGAATAATAGAATATGAAATCCTGTAAAGCCACATAAGTTATTAGATGAATATCACAGAGCTTATTATGCACTATGGCTTAATGTTAGATTATAGATGTGACCAAATGGTAATTAACAGAGCTGGAGCTGTAATTAAATACTATTGTGCTGCTCTGTGATCTCTCCTTAGATTTCTGTTGCAAAGTAAATGGAAAATGAACAGTTCAAACCCATAGGTGGATTTCGTCACTTCTCTCCATCCCCAAACATCTCTTTAATTAACTAAGTAATTAAATAAAGTCATCTTCATACAACAGAGATGCCAAACTCTGCCTAGTAACTCTAATCAGAAAGGGTAGTTTGATGCATACTTGTTAATGAGTTCCTCATGTTTATGAGTCTGTTCTGTTATTCTTAGTGATCAGTTCAGCTGAAGTTTCTTCTCCTCAGTTATTCTATAGCAGGGTATAATTTGGCAAACTGCTTGAATGCAACAGTGATGTTTCCAATCTACATTTTAGGTGTTGTTTTCTGGATTTCTCGGTGCAAAACTGGGGACTTCATTTTATCTAGAATGTGTTAGCATATCTTTCTCCTAGCCTGCCAGGAGCACTGAATAACCTAGCAGGAAATGAAACTACTTCCAGAAAAGAGCTGTCCTCAGTGGCTAAGAGAAAGAGTATATAGGTGTCTCCATGGGGTAAAGTTCCTTCGGTGCCTAGGGTTGCTGCCTGAGCTGTGGAACAGGTTGGCAATAGGACATGTGCAAGCAAGGCAATCAGAAAGTTCACAGGAGTGACCTGGAAGGTTTAGGCCAATGTCTGTGTCCAGTAGGACCTTGCAGGAATTTCTCTTGCGAGTAGAAGAAAGTATAGAAAAGGGAACAAACCCTAAGCAAACGAAGTACACATATAGGCTGTGAAACTGCTTCTGTCACGGTTCGTCCCCAAGAGAAAGAGTAGATAAACAGAGGTGAGGCCAAGGTAAAGATAATCTGTATACTCTATCTCTAACTTTCCCTCTCTAGTGACTCTCAAGAGTTTCTTCCAGCACTGCAGAGGAGTGAGTAGGGAGGCTCCAGTTTACTTTTTCTGTGTTGTTTTTACCTTCACTTCTGTGCATGGAAATTTTAAAGGATCTTTCCAGGATCTACCACACCCCAAGAAGGTTGGCAAATTAAATTACAAGTGTCCATTTTCAAGAGAGCAAATATGCCTTGTGGCATTTATCATAAATGTCGAGGATTCATTATACAGGCTTCCACTTCCATTTCATTTCATGAAAAAGGTGGAGTTAGGGAAGTACAAGGGGTGTGTGTGTGAGACAAGCAGGATAAGGATGTTTTGGCAGCTCTTCAGGGACCAGAATTAATCAGAATCAGTGTGTGAACATTCTGTGGACTCACAATGATGATCTGCAAATAGTGATGACTTTCTAAGCCAAGAAGTCAGAGCCAGCTGTGGAGAATGGATCTGGTACCCAGACCTCAGCTTGTAGGCTAGTTGTCAAGGCCAGGAAGACATTTGTCTCTGTGTGTGTTGTGGGAGGGAAATGGATTATAGATAGAATGATAGCCATGTAGTAAATTATTCCAGAATCACAGTTTTGTTGCAGAACTATTTAGAAGCTTGGATTATGGATTCATGTATGATTTTCTCTGAATGTCTGTACTGAAGGACTACATTTAACCTAGACTAAGAAGTCCTCACAAAGGGAAGAGTTGCAAGGATCGGGAAAGTCCCAATCTTAGACTCTCGTTTTCTAGGTCTGCTGATTAATATCATACTTAATCTTCAGAGGAAATAAGCCGGTGTGTGCATTGAGTGTCTTTGCATATGCAAGACATTATGCTCATTCAGGACTGGGACATTAATCACTGGAGCATAATAGACTTTGTCAGCCTCATAAATTCTGGAATTTAAAGAGTTAAAGGATCACTGCCCACTTCATTCTTTTTTTTTTTTTTTTTTTTTTTGAGATAGGGTTTCACTCTGTCACCTAGACTGGAGTACAGTGGCACAATCATAGCTCATTGTAGCCTCAACCTCCTGGGCTTAAGTGGTCCTCCCACCTCAGCCTCTGGAGTAGCTGAGAATACAGGCATGTGCCACCACACACAGATACCTTTTTTATTTTTATTTTTTATAGAGGTGGGGTCTTGCTATGTTACCCAGGCTAGTCTTGAACTCCTATCTACATGTGATCTTCCTCCCTAGGCCTCCCAAAACACTGGGACTACAGGCATGAGCCACTGCACCTGACCCATCACAACTTTTATATTGTCTCTAGATGTGTTGCATTCTTCTTGGAACCTAACTAATTACATTGTTTTTTTTCTTTTCTTTTCTTTCCTTTTTTTTTTTTTTTTTTTTGAGGACGGAGTCTTGCTCTGTCACCAGGCTGGAGCGCAGTGGCACGATCTCAGCTCACTGCAACCTCCGCCTCCTGAGTTCAAGCGATTCTCCTGCCTCAGCCTCCCACGTAGCTGGGACTACAGGCACCTGCCACCACGCCCGGGTAATTTTTTTTTTTTTTTAATTTTAAGTAGAGACGGAGTTTCAGCTTGTTAGCCAGGATGGTCTCGACCTCCTGACCTCGTGATCCGTCTGCCTCAGCCTCCCGAAGTGCTGGGATTGCAGGCGTGAGCCACCGCACCTGCCTAACTAATTACATTCTTGTGAGAGGTTCTGGTTTCTGGTTTTGGAGGCGGATTGCTTATTTATTTATTTATTTATTTATTTATTTATTTATTTTGAGAAGGAGTCTTGCTCTGTTACCCAGGCTGGAATGCAATGGTGCAATCTCAGCTCACTGCAACCTCCGCCTCCCAGGTTCAAGTGATTCTCCTGCCTCAGGCTCCTGAATAGCTGGGATTACAGGCGCCCGCCAGTACGCCTGGCTAATTTTTGTATTTTTAGTAGAGACATGGTTTCACCATGTTAATCAGGCTGGTCTCGAACTCTTGACCTCAGGTGATCTGCCCGCCTCAGCCTCCCAAAGTGCTGGGATTATACGTGTGAGCCACCGCGCCCGGCCGTGTTTGACTATTTCTATCTTTGTATACATAATCAGCTATATCTTCAGACTGCTATTGATTGGTTTCTGGGTGGCAACAGCACCTTCTGTTTTTTTTGTTTTGTTTTGTTTTTTTGAGACGGAGTTTTGCTCGTCGCCCAGGCTGGAGTGCAGTGGTGCAATTTCAGCTCACTGCAAGCTCCGCCTCCTGGGTTCACGCTATTCTCCTGCCTCAGCCTCCCAAGTCGTGGGAACTACCACCACGCCCACCACCACGCCCAGCTAATTTTTTGTATTTTTAGTAGAGACAGGGTTTCACGGTGTTAGCCAGGATGGTCTCGATCTCCTGACCTCGTGATCCGCCCATCTCGGCCTCCCAAAGTGCTGGGATTACAGGCGTGAGCCACTGCACCCAGCCCACCTCGTGTTTCTTATAGATAAATTTGATGTTAGAATTATATTCCAAGATGCCATTCTCATTAAACAACCACTGTTACAGTCTCTAAGGGTTAGAAATTCCCACCAGGTTAATCCCAGCCCTGCTATAACTTTTAAGTAGATTGATTCCTTCTAGCCAAAGATGTGTTAAAGCACCTAGGATCATTAGGAATCATGGCATTCCTAGGATTTGGCTATTTCTTCCTCTCTTTTTCCCCACCCAAATTCATGGATTTTATGCCAGACTAATGTACTGTTTGCTGAACAAATGGTAGGAAGCATAGTGTGGTGGTAGCAGAACATACCTCAGATGCTGGGCCTTGTCTTTCTCATCAGTCTGTGTGCTCTGTTACTGTTGAAATCTGGCCCTGATTCTCTTTCATTACAGATTTTTAAATGAGATGAGAAAAAATAGAACTTTTTAAAAAACAATTTTAGCCAAGTGTAGTTTATGAGGAAGATCATTAATGCTCATTATATAAGATCATTATATGCTCATTAATAAGAGTTTCTCTTAGCACAGGATGCTCTCATCTAAACCACTAGATGTGTAGTGGTATCATAAGCCAGAACTTGAAAGGAAGAACCAAAGTCTTATTTATAGCCGTCTGCAATCTGGCAGGAATAGATGTAGGACTAGATTAAATACAGAAAAGGTATTTCCTCTAAATGTTCTCCCTGCAACTCAGCTACTACTTTTTCTTCCCCTCCACAGATGGAGTCCCCTGTTTCCACACCAGCAGTGCTGCCAATACACCTTTTGGTGCCAGTGGTCAATAATGACATCTCATCTCCCTGTGAGCAGATCATGGTTCGTACCCGATCAGTTGGGGTCAACACATGTGATGTGGCTCTAGCCACAGAGCCTGAGTGCTTGGGCCCCTGTGAACCTGGAACTAGCGTGAACCTTGAAGGCATCGTGTGGCAGGAAACAGAAGATGGTAAGTGTGATATGTGGCTTTCCCATCCCTTCTCAACCTGCTTCTGCAGGGGAGCCACCAGGGTCCATGATGAAACCCCATCTCTACCAAAATACAAAAATTAGCCAGGCATGGTGGTGCATGCCTGAAATCCCAGCTACTTGGGATGATGAAGAAATTGAAGCTCAAAACATTTATTTGTTCAAGGTTACCAAGCTGGTAAGTCTCAGAATAAGGTTTTGAACCCAAGGCTCTAACTCCAGATTCTGTGATCTTTCCACTTTATCGTATCACTTCTCCAAGATGAATCTGAGACCAGTTCAAAAAACAGTGTCGGATCTATGGAAGTTGGCTGCAGGAAACAGGGCCGTGTTCCTAATATCCCTTAGCTAATTTTTCCTGTAGAGCTCAGTAAGGAAAGGTCAAGCCAACAGTCTCAGCCAAAGACACTATGTTAGAAAATACCTCAGCCTGTGCCTTGGAAAGCTGATGCCCGCCTAATCAAGCTCACTAAAGCAGAGCTTCCTCTACCTCTCCCATCTCTTTGAATGTTTGATTTCTCCTTCCACAGGTTCCTACCTGCCTTCCAGCTACTCTTTTTCTCCATATGGCAGCAAGGTCTCAGGTGGTGAAGATGCTGACAAGGCACGAGCCAGCCCCAGTGTCAGTTGTAAATCCAGCTCAGAGTCCAAAGCCCTGGACATCTTGCAGCAGCATGCCAGTCACTACAAGAGCAAGTCTCCCACGGTAAGAGAAGTACAGTGACGCTGGCTGTTACCCAAAGATCAGTAAGGCCAGATCCAGGGTCTGGGAGAAGGTGGGCAAGTTCAGGTCCTGACCACAGTGCAGCTTGGCTGACTTGACATTTTCTTGATTCTTACATGTCTTGCACTTTTAGGGGTCATAAGGTGGCACCCTGGGCATCTCACTCATGTGTGGGTGTTTGTGTGTGTGTGTGTGGTTGTATGTATGTGTGTCTCACTATAGTGCTTTTGTGTCTCTGATTTCCTTTCCAGATAAGTGATAAAACTTCTCAGGAGAGAGATCGAGGAGGCTGTGGGGTGGTTGGGGGTGGTGGCAGCTGTAGCAGCGTTGGGGGAGCAGGTGGGGGTGAACGGAGTGTTGACCGGCCCCGCACCTCTCCTTCCCAGCGCCTGATGTCCACACACCACCACCACCACCACTTGGGGTACTCGTTGCTCCCAGCACAGTACAACTTACCCTATGCAGCAGGTAAGCCTGTTTTCCCTACCACCTGTTGTTTTGTCTTGTTTTGTTTATCTTCATCCCAGTAGTATGTCTACATCTTCATCCCAGTAGTATGTCCACAGCTAGGACCCTCCTCCCTGCCTCATTAGAATCCTTTTTTAATTTTTTTTTTTTTCCTGAGCTTCTAATCTGTGCACAGTCCTAACCTCCTGCTGTCATTAAAGCATATGATATTCCTCCTTTGGAGTTTGGGGACTCTTAAATTCCTCCAGAATACTAGCCTTGATATTCAGAAGAATATGGAACAGGTGTTCCCCAAAGGCAAAGAGAAACAATCAGCTGAGAAATACAGCCTTATTATCTATCTCCAGCAAATATATCTGGCTGAGTATCAGATTTCTTTTTCTGTCAGCACCCCAAAACTCAGAGAAAATGGTTAATGGAAGGTTTCTGTGAGTACTGCACTAACATGTTCTCCTGCTCACTCAGGGCTTTCTTCTACAGCCATTGTTGCCAGCCAACAAGGCTCAACTCCCTCACTCTACCCACCCCCCAGGAGGTGAGAATGGTAAGTAACTTTTGTTAATTTGGGGCAACACGTAAAGCTGGGATAGTTGCTATCTGGATCACAGAATCCCTAGATGAGGAATAGCTGTGAGGGGTCAGCGGTCTGGAATCCATAGAACCCTGGCCAAGCCTCTTGTACAAGAGTCTCCCATGAAGTCATGTGCCTCTGAGAGGACCTGTGGAACACAGTGTCCCCTAGGGAGCAGTACTGGCCACTCCTGCAGTTCATTTTCTTGGAGTGCCACCTTGTGGTTGTTTTACCAACAGGCTAAGTGCCTGGTTATCTGTCCATGTTTCCCTTGCAGACATCAAGTGCCCGGATAAAATCAGCTTCATGGGCCCGGACTGGCTCACCCAAGGAGGTGCTGAAGGTGCCATTTAGACATCAGTTAAATGGTGTTGATCATCCTGTTTGCCGTTTCCTCCATGACTGAAGGCAGACCCTTGGCTATCTCACCTCCACCAGACCTCCGGACTACCTGACCCTCCATCTTCCTCAGGAGCTGGAGAGCTGGTACTTAGCAAAAATATTTATTCTCTCAGCCACAGTCATGACTGTTGTGGCCTCTGTGGAGATGAAGGCACGGGAAGCAACCAGGGGAACATGGCCTCAGCCCAGAGAAGCCACCGCTCTGTTCCCCAAGCCCTTGGTCTGCTGCCAGAGCAGTACCAGCTCCCCCGCCCACCAGGGAGGGACCCCCACCCCCAAGCACTGGGTAAGGTCTGAAGACAGCACAGCAGCCATACCCCTCACCATCATTACCACCATCACCAGATTCTGCATCTCCCTAGTGCTTTGCACCCTGGGAATTGGCAGCATGTGGAGGAACTAGAATCTCAGGAAAGAAATTGGGGGTTGTTTTCTACGTAATTGTGAAAACAAGGTCTTCAAATGTGGAGACTTCTCCCCATTTACATGAGCACATGTAAACGCTCACAACCTAGCCTGGAAAGGAAGACCAAGGCATCTGCCCCAATATGGCCTTGAGCTGCCTGTGAGGCAGGAGGCAGGGGTTCCACCACCAGCACAGGGCTCCCCAGGGACACTGGGAGCAAGCTGGTGCTGGAGCATGAATGGCATCTGTGAAGTAGAACCTGCGTCCCCACTAAGTCCTGCTGCTTCTTATTCCCCAACTCCTTGCCCTTTTCCCTTCCCTCCTAACCCCTTGGTGCCTTTCCCAGGGGGATCCCCACACTGGTCTTGCCTCTTCTTTTCCACTGCTTGGCTCTTAAGCCTCAGGCAGATAAACTAGTATTCTCCCCAGCATGGGGAACCTTGGAGTCTGCCAGGTCACCTTAGGGCAAGGCCCAGAAGGCAGCCCCTGGGAGCACCCAGCAGTTCTTGGAGATGTACTGTCATCTAGCCATCTGATATCTTCCTCATTTGGGGCCACAAATGTATACAGCCCAATTCCTCTGTCTACAAGTACATGATTTTATATAGCTCAGTCTATAACTTCCATGTGGGCCAATATAAGCTGTGTTTCTTGGTAACATAAATTTTGTTTGAGGGGCCACTGGCCGTGGGAGGTTATTTTTTCCTTAGACCCTGGGATAACACATCCAAGCCATTACATTAGAGTCTCAGAATGTACTCAGTGGAGCTCTGCTTTGAGGCAGCCAACATTTCTCTGCTCTCCGTAGAAATGCAGTCTCCCAATAGAAGCTTTATGCTCTTTGTACTGGGAAAGTGAGGATGATTTGATAGTTTTATTGGGGTCATGTCTTCCCCAAAGTGTGGGGAGCTTTAGCTTACTTGGCTTTTGAGGTATCATCCCTCTGTTCTCCCCTCCTATCTTTCCATGACCCTCTGGATTGAGAGAGGTAAAGACTGACAGACACCAGCGTAGGCTGGAAAAGGGAGTGTGTGACCAGAGTGCCAAAAATGACTAGGAGCAGGTACTGCTCCGACTCAGTTTGGAGAATGGGAAACACAATGTTTCCCATTGGAGAATGGGAGTAAGCACAATGCCCAGTAGTACTTGATGTCCAAGGACCCTGGAACCCTACACATGAGAGGTTTACGGTCACCATCTGCTCAAGAGGATCCCCTCTGATCTACAGGCCTTTCCCCTAGGTGTCTACGTCCTCGTTTTTGTTCAAGTTGGGTTCTGAGCCCTCCCCAAAAACCATTGTTTTAAACCTCTTGGCAGGGCCCCAAAACAACCTCCCTCATACTCATCATATTCCCTCTGCCTCCTGCTGCCCTCGTGGGCAGTGCTCTGAGCAGTGACCTCCCTTTCCTCCATGGAAGTAGCTAGTGCAGACACCTTCACCCCACCTCACCTGAGTCACCTCAACCAAGAGGGTGACTGAATTTTGGCCTGATTATGCCCTCCTGGAGCTCCTGTGAGGTGGAGCCAAGGGCCCCTCTCTGTTCCTGTTTGTTTTAAAATATTGTTGTGTGTTTTGTATCTGTGGCACTGGCCTGCAGCATACTCTGTACATATTGTAAAGAAACCGTTTGGAGTAATTTTCTTTTGCATTGGGCAGGTATTCCTGCATTCCTGCCCTTTCCACTCGTTCTGTAACAGAGGATGAACTTCTGTCTTAGCTGGGCAGCCTTGGGTTCTCCAGAAGAGAACAGGTTTTCCTTTTCCTTTTTAAATTTTCTTCTTAAACATTTGGCTCTTTGATCCTCATATCCAAGTCTCCCTGAAGAGCAGGAGCTGCTCAGAAGAGCAGGTGAAAGCCACAATGGCAGATCCTGATGCTTGCCGGGCCTAGTCTTCTCTCCAAAATAACATGAAGCAGCAGCTGTGGAGATTCTTGACAAGTGCTGAGTGAAAGATTTGCTGTCCACCTCTACATGGGGAGGAGAAACACAGGGGGGAGCTACCTGTGGCATCCATGATCTAGTCAGAGGGATGAGATGCTCAGCAGGGATCCCCATCCTATCCCACCCCACAAACAAAGGCTGGAAAAATTTGCTACCAAGGGCCAAGACCACCAGACCAAGCCTGTCTCTGAGCCACCCCTGCCCAGGCCCTCACAGACATTGCTCACTGGGCTTCCCATCGAGAAGCTGAAGAGAGAGGGGGCCTCATCCCCAGATAGATCAGGCAAGGCTTGGAGAGCTGCTCTTTAGGATCCACATCAACTACTTCCTCATTTTAAGGTATGGCAGTTTCCTTCATCCCCTTTTCCTGCCTTGTACATGTATGAAATTTCCTTCTCTTACCCAACTCTCTCCACACATCACAAGATCAAAGAACCACACGCTTAGAAGGGTAAAGGGCACCCTATGAAATGAAATGGTGATTTCTTGAGTCTCTTCTTTCCAGGTTTCAAGGGGCCATGGGAGGACTTAGAGAGTTGCGAGTGAAGACTGCAGAGGGCTAGGAAAGTATTGTATACAGGTTTTGAGGCCACCCATGTCACTTATCCCGTATACCCTCTACCATCCCCTTGTCTATTCTGATGCCCCCAAGATGCAACTGGGCAGCTAGTTGGCCCCATAATTCTGGGCCTTTGTTGTTTGTTTTATTATTTGGACTTCCCAGGAAGCTTTCCAGTGATCTCCTACCATGGGGCCCTCCTGGGATCAAGCCCCTCCCGGGCCCTGTCCCCAGCCCCTCCTGCCCCAGCCCACCCGCTTGCCTTGGTGCTCAGCCCTCCCACTGGGAGCAGGTTGGGGCGAGCTGGAGGCCCGGGCTGGAGGGGCAGTGTTGCTGTTCATAGATTTTGTTCCATTGGCGTTGCTCTGTTGGATTTAATTTCAGTCTTCCTGATTCTTCCCTTCTGTAAAGTGTACATTACCAAGTTCCTTGTTTTTTTATATATATATATAAATATATATATATACAAACTGTACTCTTTTTGCCTTTGTACATTCAGGCAAGAAGAGAAAATAAATCTTTTTAAGAGACAATCACAAATCTGTGAGGGCTGCTGGTTATTTCTCCTGGAGTTTGCTGCTGAGCTGCCTCTTCCTTCCTCCCAACTTTCCTGTTCCCCCTCAGCTTTCCTGATCTTCCTGGCCCTGCTCCATATGCATCCTCAGCTTCACTTTCCCTGGCTGATGGCAAGTTGTTGAATCCAGTGTCCAGACTACCTGCCTTGTAACCCTTTTCTGCCCAGCATTGTTTTCTGGCTTGGCCAGTGGCTTAGCCCAGGAGCTTTACTCTGTGCCCTGGCCTCCCCTCTCTTCACCTTTAGATTCCATTCACCGAAGTGACTTTGGACCCCTGGGTACTCTGGGACCTGTTTCCTGGAGGCCCTGGCTTGGGAAACTCACCTGTGAAACTATGCAGCTGGGAGCTCTCTGCCTAAGAGTTTGCACTATTTAAACCTGCCTGGGAGTTAGGACGGATGGTTTTAGGAATGACCAGGAAACTACCCCTAAAACTCCCCCTACATTCCAGCCTCTAGAATGCTCTGATCCAGAGCTCAGTGGATGATTCCCAGCTGGTGGACTCTGTGGCTACCCCATCAGAACAAGGGCTAAGGGTTTATGGGTCAAGAGTATTTGATCAGAATTTTAAAGGGTGGTACACTCTGAAACACAGCCCAACCAAACCATTTGTTTGGCCTCTTTCTCTTTTCCTCTACCTTCCTCCTCCCCCCTTTTTCCCCTCTCTACTTCCTCTTCTTAATTGGCTTTGGAATTGAAGTATATTTTTAAATTATTTGTTGTATTTATTGAATAAAGTTTTTAATGTCCCTGTTCTTAAATTTAGACTTAGTTTGCCTTTCACACTCCACTCCCACCCCACCCCTAAAATATTCTACCTTCTAAGTTGCTTTTTAAACTGTAGTGCAGCCTTTTGGGTACCATATTTCTTTCCTGTCAGTGGTCTTCAATAACACGTTTTTTTTGAAAAGGAAAATCTTCCACTGGGTGCCTGGGTTTCCAATTTAGCCTTTCTGACTCTAGCTGTATTGAAGAGGAACCACCAATAGGTGGCAGCAGAATCTCAAGCAGGTTTCTTGGGAAAAAGTAAGGGACTGAGTTTTGTATTGGTTCTTTTTCATCTGTCTTGTAAATTCCTTGTGTTTGAGTTTAGTATCTGCATCCTAAATTGCCAGCTGCCTCTAGGAATTACCTGCCCAGTGGGGGACATCTGATTTCGACTGAATGTCTGTAGTCCCACACTTGCTCTAATAACACCTGCCAGGCACGGTGGCTCACGCCTATAATCCCAGCACTTTGGGAAGCTGAGGTGTGTGAATCACTTGAGGCCAGGAGTTCGAGACCAGCCTGGGCAACATGGCAAAACTCCATCTCTACTGAAAATACAAAAAATTAGCTGGGCATGATGGTGGGCACCTGTAATCCCAGCTACTCAGGAGCCTGAGGCAGGAGAATCACTTGAACCCAGGAGGCAGAGGTTGCAGTGAGCCGAGATTACACCACTGTACTCCAGCCTGGGCGACAGAGTGAGATTCCATCTTTTAAAAAAAAAAAAAAAAAAAAAACTTGGGAGTGGAGCTCATTACTTTTAATGAATACAAGTTAAAGAGTCCAAGATTAATGACTTGGCCCACAGTGAAAACACAAGCAGGCTCCATAAAGAGCAATGTGAGAGCCACAGCTGAACAGTAGACAGTTGCAAAAATGTAGGAGGTGGAAGAACATGCCCTTCACTTGGCAAAACAGAAGCAAAAGAAAAAAAGTGCTAGTAAATCCTTGAGAAATTTAAAAAACTGTGGTGAGGAGGATTCCAGCCCCCTGGGTGCCACTGAGAGCTTATTCATCAGGCTGTGGTGTAGGGGACTGGAAACCACACCTTAGGACACTGAGCTCCAAAAGGAGAAAACTAGACTAGGGAAGGTGTGTGCTGCACCCTTCAAAGACCTCAGGAATGGGAATGTCAGGAGCGCCATGCGCCAAAACCGTTTCAGGACCCAACCTCCCCAGCCTTTTATAGAAAAGGAAGAGCTAAGAGCAGATTGGATCTTGGGTATAGCCTCTCCTAGATGAAGCTGATGTATACACATCTGTCTCTCCAGGGGGCTCTGGCAGTGAGTCTCAGACTCCTAGCAACCCTGCATTTCACAGTGTAATATGGCCCCAGAGACCTGGGCCAGTTTATCTGTCCTCCTACACTGCAGCTCTTTTTCCCAAGGAGCATGCACCACACCTCTATTAGGCTCTGGACTCAAAACAGTTTGGTAGGGAGTTGGTCCTAGTTGAGAAATAAAGAATAGACCAACCACAACTTTAAATCAGTTTATTGACACAGTAACACAACACACTTGCCTCCCTGACATCCCCGTCCCCCTCACCAAATCTAGATCTCTTCCCACTTCCTCTCCCCTTAGAAAAAGCTGTTTAGTGAAAACAGTTAAGGGCAGGCCACTTCTACACTCCCAGCGCTACCCTAGGCCCTGCAGAGCAGGGTCTCAGGCACTACTCAGAACCTGGTGGGGAGGCAGCTAGTGCTATGCTCAGCCAGCCAGAGGCATCCAGTCCCTAAGAACAGATTCCCCCACAATTCCCAGGCCCTGAGTTGCTATATATTCCTCTTCCTCTCTGCTCTTTGTGACCCCCAGGAAGGAGACCTTGGGACCTGGGCCTGCAGCCAGGAGCAATAACTCCTGGCAGTGATTTGAGAATTAGAGTTTGGCTAGTGTTTTTATGGCCCAGGCATCCCCCCAAAAAGCCCTGGTGGTGGGAATAAATTTCAATGCCCCTATTTAAAATGTACTGATAACATTAAACAGATTAAGCCAGCTTAACCAAATGCCAGAATAACACTAAGCTGTAAAGAAGGAGGGGTCTGACCTGCTTACTCCAGGGCAGACACAAATGCACACAGAGAAGCCCAGGTAAGAGTGTCAAAAAACAACTCAAGGACACTGCCCAGGGACTGAAAAGCCTATACTCAGGAGCCCCTGGGGTGACAGGAAGCAAAGAAAGAAAATACACAGTCTTAATAACCAAAACAGAAAGCCAACAGCGGGAAACCTGAGCCTGACAGTGCTGCCCACCAGCCCTCCAGGCCATGCCCCTGAACCCAGACAGTCCCTCCCCCTCTAGGCAATGTCCTCCCCTAGGCTAGATAGAACACATCACACAGCGCAGTTTAAAAAGCTTCTAATGCCAGTTCATAAACATCTTCATTTACTATTGGTGATTACATGTGAATAATATGTTTATACTGTTCTTTATGGAAAACAATTTCAACGAGTCAACTCTGAGAACACAATAGGCAACCCTCATCCTGAGCCCCTCAGTGTCCTTCCCTAGACAGCGAGGAGCCCTCTCGTCTGTCCCAGGGCTGCCTAACTTCCCCTCTTCCCCCACTGTGGCTCTTGGGCAAAGCATCCTCTATGACTATTAGTCCTCATCGGACAAGTTCTGGTCCAGGGGATAAACCATGAACATCACATCTGGCCGAGAGGGGACACAGGGATGGCCTGGACGTACAATCTCAAAGCCCAAGAAGCTGAAGGTCTTCAGGAGTGGAGCTGCAGAAGACAGAGTGTTAAAAAGTCTGATGAGAAACACAGGGTAGGCTGAAATTAAAACCCCAAACAAAGATGGAACAAATAAGCACTAGGCTTTTACTAACCCTTTGGGCACTTGCCCTCCCACCATGATTTCCCAGGGTTTGAAAGGCAAATTCAAGAGTCCCACCTCATCGTGGAGGTGCTCCCTTCTCTCCCCCAGGCCCCACTGTCTGGGCTATAAGGCTCAGGCCGCTCTGACTCCTCACCTCTGTCTTCTCGGCCCTTCCTGAAGCAGATGAAGACATAGTTCACTTTCATCTTCTCTTCAGCAAACTCTAGCAGTGCTAACAATCTGCAGGAAGCAAAGAGAAGTACTGAGGCCCATCGCCACCTTCCTAGACCTCCCTCCCATTCACACCCCACCCCCACCAACTCAAAGGCTTTTCTGAGGCCTACAACCAGCAGTATAAATGCAGAAGCTCCAGGCGGGGCGCGGTGGCTCACGCCTGTAATCTCAGCACTTTGGGAGGCTCAGGCGAGCGGATCATGAGGTCAGGAGATCAAGACCATCCTGGCTAACACGGTGAAACCCCACCTCTACTAAAAATACAAAAAATTAGCCAGGTGTGGTGGTGGGCGCCTGTAGTCCCAGCTACTCCGGAGGCTGAGGCAGGAGAATGGCGTGAACCCAGGAGGTGGAGCTTGCAGTGAGCCGAGATTGTGCCACTGCACTCCAGCCTGGGCAACAAAGCAAGACTCCGTCTCAAAAAAAAAAAAAAAATGCAGAAGCTCCAAGAGGAAGATTCCTATGTCAAGACCTCAAGAGCCTTGAATTCAGAAAACAAAACCAAAAAAAGGCCACAGCACCTGAGAAAAATGTTATTGACTTTTCCTGTAATGGGTGTTCTTCATCTGAAAGCAACACTACCCATCTTAAGTAATGCTGTTCACAAGACAGAGTTTAGGGCCTAGAAAGAAAACCCAGTTCTTCAGGTGTCCGCCAGATTGCCAAGCTCGATACGATCACCTGCCACTGAGAGTGACACTCTGGGCTCTAATACAGCCTAAAAGGATTTTCTAAAGAGGCTAGGACCACTCGGGAACTCTGTCCCCAGGACATTTCTTACACATCTTGGTCTCTTGGAGAGTCTGCCGAATCCAGTGAAATCCCACTTACCTCTGAGCTTCCTGGGTGGGGTGTGAATGGGAGAGGGGAGGTCTAGGAAGGTGGTAATGGGCCTAAGTACTTCTCTTTGCTTCCTGGCCTTTTAAACTACACCACTGTGTAGCTAAAGGGGGATTTAGTGTCTGCTGGGAAGAGTGAACCATGGGGCGATTAACCGGCAGGCATTTGGTTAATGTGATAACAATCTGCTTTAATTATAACCTAGAGCAGGCCTGTCTTACTGGCTAAAAATAACCTGTTACAAAACGGTATCTGCTTGGGGAGTCTAGAGCTAAGGGAGAAGGCACAGACTCCCCTACAATTCTGTTACCCACAGTAAACATATACTCTTCTCTGGAATGGGAACTCCTTTCCCTTCCCCAGCATTTGGCTCTTTACCCTTCTTTGCTCCCATCAGCTAATAATCCATCTGGGATTTCTACAAACAGGCTCTGGCTGGACAGGACTGCATCCCAAGAAGAGACCTTCACCTCGGTGACCTCATACTGGAAGTGGACGATGTGAGGTTTTCCATCATTCACAGGGAGGTCCTGGGTCACAGTGAGCTTCTCGTCCTGGGAAGGAAAGCAGGGCACAGGACCAGGTCACTACTGCTTCTGGCCATATCATCCACTCCCTAATCTAGGCGATGCCGGGAGTCCCCCTAGGCCAGTCTCAGTGTAGCGTGGGATAGAGGCCATGCTGAAAATGCAGAGTGTCATGATGGCTAAATGGAGCTGTCACTTACCAGAAACTAAAACCAGTTGATGGTAGTAAAAGCTCGCAAGGTAGGAAGGGAAATATTTGCCAATTGTCCACTAGGTGCCAAGTACAAAGTGCTGTCCCATATATTACCTTTATCACCATGACAAGCACTTCAGATGGTAATTAACAACTCCACTTTAATGGCAGTGAATGGCAGTGAATGGCAGAGATGAGATTCAAACCCAGGTCTCCCTGACTCGAAAGCCCACACTTTCCCCCAACACCATGTTCTTTTCCTTCCCTGTCAGAAAGGGAAACATCAAAAACAAATGAGGATATGTGTGAGGGTTTGGCTGGAGCCCCAGTCAGCCAAAGTCTGATTCCAAGTGGACTGTAGGGTCCGTGTTATCTTCTGTGTTACCTCCCTTGGGCATAATCCTAAAAGCCCAGAATTCAGCTACCCTGCTAACCTTCCATCCCAGTCTTAGTAAGAAGCTAAACTAACTTCTGGGCCTCAATTACAGCAGATTAAAAGGCAACATATGGTGCTGTTATCTTTTCTCTAGTATTCCCAATAAGCCATGCAACAGCCTCAGCTGAAAGAGTCCTTCACAGTACCCCCACTGGCCTAGGCTAAGAGCCAGAGGACTACAGAAAATGATTACTGCCCTTGAGCAGCAGCTCAGTGGAGTCTGAGAAGGCTCCATCCCCAGCCTTCCATCCCAGGGTCCTCCTTACCTTATATATTAGAGCTGAGAGAGAAGGATCCCTGCCGCCCCCTCGCCCACCGGGGATCTTCGACAGTGGGTGAGGGGCATCAGGAGCACCACAGAGGCCCTGGAACAATGTGCCTGCAGCACTGGAGCTGGGGACAGTTACTCAAAGGCAAAATACTACTGTAAGAGACAGAGAGAGTGAGACAGTAAACATCAAGACTTGAAGATTTTTTTTTTTTTTTTTTTTGAGGCGGAGTCTCACTGTGTCGCCCAGACTGGAGTGCAATGGCATGATCTCGGCTCACTGCAACCTCTACCTCCCAAGCTCAAGCAATTCTCCTGCCTCAGCCTCCCGAGGAGCTGGGACTACAGGCATGTGCCACCACACCCAGCTAATTTTTGTATTTTTAGTAGAGATGGGGTTTCACCATGTTGGCCAGGCTGGTCTCGAACTCCTGACCTCGTGATCCATCCACCTCAGCCTCCCAAAGTGCTAGGACTACAGGCGTGAGCCACAGCGCCCGGCCAAAATGTAAAGGTGTAACTCAAATCCCACCCCACCCATCCCGGCTCTCTCTAAACAAGGGAAGGCTTATGAAGGCTCCCCAACTGCCCCAGTCCTGTGGGCTTCAGCTTCCAGAACTACGCTGCTGTCTTAGGGGGAACCCACCATGTTGCAGAGGCATGGGGAAAGAGTCTCAGGAGGGCCAAGCTAGCACGAACCTGGCTCACTGCAACCTCCACCTCCCAGGTTCAAGTAATTCTCCTGCCTCAGCCTCCCAAGTAGCTGGGATTATAGGCATGTGCCACCACGCCTGGCTAATTTTATATTTTTTAGTAGAGACGGGGTTTCACCATGTTGGTCAGGCTGGTCTCAAACTCCTGACCTCCAGTCATCCACCGGCCTCAACCTCCCAAAGTGCTGGGATTACAAGCGTGAGCCACCACACCCGGCTTGAGTGAGAAATCATTTAACTAAATCCCTCAACGGTTAAGAATAAAACTAAATCCAGGGATTTAGCTCCCAGAGCAGAGGTACACAGTAACACATAGAAAACTGAGATATCGGCCGGGCGCGGTGGCTCAAGCCTGTAATCCCAGCACTGTGGGAGGCCGAGACGGGCGGATCACAAGGTCAGGAGATCGAGACCATCCTGGCTAACACGGTGAAACCCCGTCTCTACTAAAAAATACAAAAAACTAGCCGGGCGAGGTGGCGGGCGCCTGTAGTCCCAGCTACTCCGGAGGCTGAGGCAGGAGAATGGCGTAAACCCGGGAGGCGGAGCTTGCAGTGAGCTGAGATCTGGCCACTGCACTCCAGCCTGGGCGACAGAGCGAGACTCCGTCTCAAAAAAAAAAAAAATAAAATAAGAAAACTGAGATATCTGATTTGCCCCTGGTATGCCACCAAATGCGGGGCCTTCTTGCCCTTCTTTGCTGATCCTTTTATGACCTGAGCGTGGGAGGTCAGGTAATAGTGATGTGGTCAGAACAGAAATTCAGATGTGCTGGGTGCAGGGTATGTGCTGGGAGAGGATACATGCTATGACCTGAGTAAGGAATCCAATAATCAGACAGATTATAGCAGGTAAAAGGCTCCTAAAGGAGATCCCTGTCACCTTACTGGCCACCTTGATTTTTGGATGGACCCAACAGGGCTGTAGATCTGCTCCACTCTCTTTGAATCCAATTTAGTGGTTCCTTAGGCTGAGATGTAGTTCATTCCCTAGGCCAAGGGCAAGTGAAGCAGAGAAAGAGGTGTATTGTGTGTGCATGTACACACCACGACTCAGCAACAGGCCTGTTCCCAGCCACCACACATCAGCCTCAGAGCAGCTGGAATGCAGTGGGTACTGCAGTGGTGTGCTGGGGCCAGCTCACACAATCGTGCACATCTCTTCCCAAATATGTGTTTAATGATGTCATGTTGGTAGCTTGAATTGGCCAGAGGAGGAGTATTTATACTACAAAAGTCCCCAAATGCTGTAAATCAGGGCTTTTTTCCCCCTGAAAGCCATTGTAAAATGGTGTGAGGTAACTATTCTTCACACTGTCCTTCGCTTTATATAGCATGGCATGCCAATTTTGGACTCTCCTAAATGAAGAACAACAAAACTGAACTCACACTTAACATGGCAATGGTACAATAACCAAAGGGGCAGTCCTATTAGCAGAACTGTATCTGCACTGCAGCTGCAAATGGAAGTCCAAATCCATCACTGCTCAGCTCCTAGGGTCTGTTCTCTCAAAGATTTCAAATGGAGGCCTACAAGTATACTTGGAAATTTCTTTGAGAAATGGATTTCCCACAAAAGTGTCCATGGGTGAGGAGCAGCGTCATTATCTAGGGGTGCACTTTGGGAGGCCAAAGAGGGAGGATCACTTGAGCTCAGGAGTTCAAGACCAGCCTGGCCAACATGGCAAAACCCCATCTCTACTAAAAGTACAAAAATTAGCTGGATGTGGTGGCAGGTGCCTGTAATCCCAGGTATTCAAAATGCTGAGGCAGAAGAATTTATTGAACCCAGGAGGTGGAGGCTGCAGTTAGCCGAGATTGCGCCACTGCACTCTAGCCTGGGTCACAGAGCCAGACTCCGCCTCCAAAAAAAAAAAAATCTAGGGCTGTAACCACATATCCACCTCTTCCCTCCTCTGGAAATCCTCAGGTCACCCTCACCTCCTCCACTCTTGGCCTCACCAACAGCTGTTAACAGAAAGGGCTGAACTGGGTGCGGTCGCTCACACCTGTAATCTCAGCAGTTTGGGAGGCCGAGGTGGGTGGATCACCTGAGGTCAGGAGTTTGAGACCAGCCTGGCCAACATGGTGAAACCCCATCTCTACTGAAAATACAAAAATTAGCTGGGCGTGGTAGTGCATGCCTGTAATCCAAGCTACTAAGGAGGCTGAGGCAGGAGAATCCCTTGAACCCGGGAGGTGGAGGTTGCAGTGAGCAAAGACCATACCACTGTACTCCAGCCTGGGCAACAAAAGCAAAACTCTGTCTCAAAAAAACAAAAACAAACAAAAAAACAGAAAGGGCTTAACAGAGGACTATGCTACTGTTTTCAAGGACAGGAGTTATTTTCTGCTGGGGACAATGAGCTATTGTGATTCCCCCTTCCAATGTGTTAAGGGGCAGAATAACAGTGTCCAGACTAGAAAAAATAAGACAAGGGTTGGGGGCGGGGGGGGAGTTTCCCCAAGCAAATGCACACACATGCACCACATGATATGATTCCCTTCTCATTCTCCAGTGACTACTTCTGGCCTGTGCTGAGGTTCCTGCAGGGGCATGAGGAGGGTTGGGCCACTGCAGAAAGCTGATTTGCTTCTATTGGTCAATGGAGTTAGCCAAAGATGGGGCAAACCCCTCTGAGATAGATTATCATCTTGTATACGAGGAGAATTAATTAGGTTCACAGCATAACCCTATCAATCACCTTGCAATTCTAGAATTCTGGGGCCAGGCTCCTACTTCCAAAGGAATTATTCCTCAAATGGTCTTTAGATGAGCGAGCTACATTCAACCTCTGCCCTGCATTCCAACTACCATCTTGATTCTTAGCTAATTTTTACTTGCAAACAGCAGAAGCAACGGGACCAACTCACTAAAACGAAGAGAATAAAGTGAGGATATTGTTTTTAGACCATAATCCCCTTTGTCTTCCTAGAAATAATCCCTGGAGCCGGCCTACCCTGTGTCCAGCACTAATCTATGAGCTTGTGATATTTCTTTTTTTAAGCTAGTCATATTTAGCAGTGGGGCTTGTGATATTTCTGGTTTCCTGATCTCTCTCCTCTTCGAATAAATGCAAGATATCTACGCCATGGTAACATGTCATTTACTTCCCCACTCTCACATACAAGGATCCTGGAGGCTCTGCTCTTCCCCCATAAATCTGTGCAGGAAAGCAAGTGTGTATGTGAGTGCGGGTGGAAGGGTGTTTCAAACCCCCACTCTGGGAACTAGTTCCAGTTCCCTAAAAGAAACAGCTGGGGTTTGGGATAAGCTTAGTAGACAGTAGATCACAATAATTATCTTCATCGTCCACATAAAGCATCTGTTATTAGTTACTTGCTGTGAATGGCAAATTGCTTCTCTTCCAAAAAACCTGACTGTCATTTCTGAAGTGAGAAAGGAAGGCGGATGGGTACGTATGTGGTAGTTAAAGACATTAAGGGGCATGAAATTACCCAGTAATGGCCTTCTCTTCTAATAATGGCTTTAGTGTTCAAATGGTATTAAAGATCCACCACCAAGCTCATTAGGAATAGTGAATCCTGGAGGAATTTAAGCACAACAGACAGTGACTTCTAAACACAAGTATTCCTATCCTAAGATCCAAACCAGGTTGGGTTTCATATTCAGTTTAGTCTTGTTTCTAACTGGCTCCTATCCCCAGCTTTTTCCAATCCTTCCTCATCTCCTGGTCACACCACTTGAGGGCAGGCATGGTTTAATCTCAACCACCGAAAGGATGATTTAAGAAACAGGCTGGGCATGGTGGCTCATGCCTGTAATCCCAGCACTTTGGGAGGCTGAGGTAGGAGAAATGCTTGAACCAGGGAGGCGGAGGCTGCAGTGAGCTGAGATCGCACCACTGCACTCCAGCCTAGGTGACAGAGCGAGACTCTGTCTCAAAAAAAAAAAAAAAAGGCAGCTCAGTCCTTTTCAGAGGCTGAAAAGATCAGGCTGATTAAGGAGAATCAAATGTATCAAACTGAACCCAAACATCCAGCTGGGCTGGTCCTGCTTTGCAGGAGAAAAAAGAAATACACCATGCTGGAAACTAACGTGTCAGGTATCCAGCATACAAGGCAATTCGGAAGAGAGATGGAACATTAGAGTCAATCTGTTAGTGTCTTTTATTTTCTCACTGATAGGACATGCCCTTGGAAACACTCCTCAGAATACATATGAGTGCTACTAACATATCACATCCTGCTGTCTCTAAAGTGTCTGTGAAACTGTTGTATGAAATGCCCTTAGCAGGTTACAATTTCACACACTGACTACAGATAGGCAGTGTATGCAGCAGATGTATAGCTGGGCAATGACGATGGTAAATAAAATTTTTATAATTCAAATGCTATTTCTAAATCTCTAGGGTACTTAATATTTAGAATTAACCCTTAAGTCTCTTGATAAAAGTAAAGGATCGTCTGTTAAAGAATCACT